TAATAGAAATAAGGAACATTCAGTTTTAAGACAGAGAGCATGGGGCCCAGGAAAGGCTGCATGAGGAACAGAATCCTGTAAAGATGAAATAAAAGAGGGAAAAGCAAAAAAATTCCATTTTGAGGAAAAGACCAGCTCAGTTCAGCCAAAACTTAGGATGCACTGAAGAGCACCATTGCTCTTAGACACAAATTACATACTTAAGCACTAGCTGAAGTCAGCAGACAAAGAGCCACAGAGATCCACATTCGTAGTACCACCCACAATTAGAAGTCAAAAGGCAAGGAATGGCAGGCTACCCAGGGCTGGACGGTCGGCCCGCCCGCACTCACACACGAGGACGGAGGTCTGGGGCCCCTAGTTAGCGCGACTCCATCACACACTCAGGAAGCTCCTGCCCAGGAAGGTAAGGATACAAACCAGTAGATATCTTTATCATCAGCTTTCGGAACTTCTCAAAAATTCACTCAGGTTGAGACTGCTCCATCAGCTCCTCGGTATAATAACTTGCTGAATTAGGCAAACCTGCTCACTCATCAAACAAATATTTGCTCACCAAGAGTCGCTTCACCAGCCCTGAACTATCACAGCACTAACTGCCCAAGGCCAACGTGCTCTCTGCATTGGAAGGGCTGCCTTGGACCACCGAAAGCCAGACCCCACACCCTGCAAACAGCCACCCACAGCCTCTCCTTTCTAAAACACCAGGCCTCTGCAGGGTGGGGCTCACTCTTCCTGCAGGAAGTGGCACACCTGGCTTAGTCCGATCAGCAGGGTATTCTGATGGTCTTTCTGGAAAGCTGACAGGTTGAATCCAGCCTTAAGTTTAGAAATCTGAAATGTGAAGTAAGGGTATTAGAACGCTGACTTCACTAACAACGTAACAGGTTAGTGGAAATCAAGAGTTCCACAAAAGACGGCAGCCGAGGGAGTGAGCACCACTGAGTGTGTCTCCGGGACTGCCCAAGAGTGAGTGCAGCGTCGGGTCTGCAGGAACATTCATCCTGGCCAGCCTAGAAATACGTGCGCTCTCGGCCTGCGA